AAGTGACTGCTTTTAAGAGATCTCATTTTCATGCAAACATGAGTTAGCTAGGGAGATCCGAAATGAATTGTCTGTATTTTCATTATCACCTGATTCCAGAAACAATCCTTCATCATTTAGGAAGGATAAATAACACAAAAATTTCAATCCTGTTTAGGAGTTGAGGCAAAAGGCTGTTTGCCACTTCTTTGTTCATTTTACTGCCTTATTTTTATTTTCTGTAGTCCTGCCCTTATCCTCAGGTGTTAAGCTCCAAGACCTCCAGTGGATGCCCAAAACTGTAGGTTGTGCCGAACCCTGTGTACACTACGCTTTCTCTTATACATACATACCTATGATAAAGTTCAATTTATAAACTGGGTACAGCAATAAGAGATTAGCAACAATAATAAGAAAATAAACAATTTTAAAAAATAAAATAAAAATTATGGGAATGTGGCATTAAAGTAAATTAAAAGTTACTTAAACCTAAGCACTACAGTGCTTCAGCAGACCATCTGTGAACCAGGAGGGCTACTAAATGATGAAGAGGTGGGTAGCATCCACAGAGTGGACACACTGGACAAAGGGATAGTTCACCTCCTGGAGAGAGTGGGACAGAAAGGTGTGAGAGTCCATCACACTGCTACACAGAATGACATGCAATTTAAAACTTACATGTTGTTTATTTTTGGAATTTTCCACTTAATATTTTAAGACCACAGTTGACCACGGGTTACTGAAAGTGTGGAAAGTGAAGCCACGGGTGAGGGGAAACTATAGTGTATATTTTTACAGTAGATCAGTGTAACCCAAAGGGTAATCTACAGTGTGGTCAACATCATCTAGTAGCTTGTTAGCAGGGCAAATCTCCAGGCCCCTGCAGGACCTACTGATGAGAATCTCCGGGGGCCTGGCTCAGGAATCTGTGCTTTTATGCTCCCTGGGTGGCTCTTAATGTGTATTAATGCTTGAGAAGCACAGCTCTGGTCAATGAGGACAGAAACTCAAAGAAGACAGGAGTCCAATAGAAGCAAGTTTTGTGATTTTTTTCTTCCTACTAGAGTTTGGTTGAAAGAAAATGACTCAGAAACCAAATGAAGTCTCCCTTGGTCTCCAGGGGAGATGGAATCCTGTTGCAGAGCAACCTTGCCGAGGTAAGGATGCTATTTACTCCTCCCAGAATGGTCTTTCATCTAAGTGGGGACAGGATTTATATTTACCACATTACAAGTCGCCAAATTCTAATGCAAGTGCATTATAGCATTCAAGACAAGTTGGGAATTACACACATTATTGCTAACCTCCTTTGGTATGAATATTTAGAGTTAAATATCCCAGTAACTGCTATATCTCATCTAAATTGCTATTACTGTATACATTTATGACATAGCTATCTTACTTCACAAGTTTTTCTCTGCACATTCAACCTGCAGACACACTCACCATTTGTAAATAAAAGCCATCATGATTCCAACAAGGACATTTTATGTATAAATTAAATTTAACATCTCCCTGTGAATGGTATGTTCCAACGTAGCAGATAATGACTAAGGAGTAACGGATCTTAGAATTGGAGCTATAGGAATAACACATCTCTCCTGGGAACACAGCAAGACACTGTGAAAGCCTGAAAGGTATCAAAAGCCAATCCACCAGTAACAACTGCTTTCTACATGGTATTAACCAGGAACATATTGAAAAACAAAGAAACAGGACTGAAATTACTATGTTACCACGGTGTAGCAAGGTAACTAAATCATAGTAGCTATTTATTACTTTTCTGCTATTTCAACCCTTAAAACCTGAGGTTGTACAATGAGATTGATACCAATGAAATTATCATTTGATAAGTATGACCAATTAAAAAATTGGGTAACTTAATTATCTCCCCCATAGCTACTCTATTACTCAAATAACAGCATATACAGGGTCTTGAAGAAGTAACACCATTGAGTGTGGTTGGTAAGGTACATGTCTTGCACGAGACGGACAGCAATTTGAACGTTTCACCTAAAATGTCATATGGTGTGCTTGAGTGTGATATTGTTATGTTACAGAACTACATGCTTATGATTTTGTAATAAAAGATTTTTTATGGAATAAAAAGACAGTGTTATTTGTGCTGGACCCTGTGTGTGTGTGTGTGCGCGTGTGTGTGTGTTTGTGTGCACATGGTTATATATAAAACATATAAATATAATATATAAAATATATTTTTTATCCCTTTAATTCTCTTTTCCTATGAAGACAAGAGCAGTATCTTATTTCTGGTCAGCAGTGTTCTTTTCTAAAATTTCCAATTTATTTTATTTTTTTAAAAATTAAAAAATTCAGTTTCAGTATACATTCAGTGTTATTTTATATTAGTTTCAGGTGTACAACATAGTGGTTAGACAATCATATACTTTACAAAGTGTTGCCTTGATATTTCCAGTATCCAGCTGGCACCATACATACTTATTATGATATTGCTGACTATATTTCCTATGCTGTACTGCTCTCTTTAATACTTTTATTTTATCCATTTACCAGTAAAGGACTATATTAATCTTGATGGGAACTTTATTTTCCATTTTTTTTAAGCAGACACCTTAACAGCTTTTGATTAAATCCAGATGATTAATCATTATTTTCATTAATTATCCAGACAAAGATGTGAGTATGTTATATTTTTCTTTCCTGACAACTGAGGGTTTGTTTCTTGGCAAACTTAATTAATGTGTTTTGCATCCAAATTAAGTGAAGCATAAACATAATACTAGTTACTTTCAGCAACCTGAAGAAAAATTGAGAATGAACAACGCTATAAATAATACTTAAAAAAATATAATTTTAAAAGGAACATTTGTTGCATCTTGGTTATTGACAAAAGAAGAAAAATGCATTAGTAACTGTTAAGATAATTCAAAAGGTTTTTTCAATTTATATTTTCAGTATGTAACCTTGGAACCATTATATTGTTCCATGTATAATATGTTTTCAAATCATATTCTTGGAAATAATAAAATAAAAATGTAAGGTTAATACCAAATATACAGAGGTGGGCAAAAGTAGGTTGATAGTTGTGAATACACAAAACACAGTTAATAAAGCTATTGTAATAATCAGAGCTTGAATGTCTTTTTACATATGAATAACTATAAACTCACTTGCCCATGCCAGAACATAGCATAATACATGTAATATAAAAAATTTTTATCATTTTACATGATAATTTTCAACCTGCTTTAAATCACAAAAGCCAGCAAAAAACCTAGCAAATAAGGTATAATATCTTTTTTTTTTTTTTTTTGGAAGTAGATATGTAAAATGTTTTCTAAACAGCAGGTGGCAATCTTTTAAATTTGATTGCAGCAGCTCATCTTAACTCTCCATATGCAGATGAGAGACAGTCTTAAAAGCCCAGTTAAGAACTCTGGCATGCTTATACTAGTTTAGGTAATTTCAAATATTAAAAGTCTTATTTAATCATGCCTGCAGTTCTAATATCCCTTCTCCCTGGGCCTCCTTCCCTCCCCCAAAAAAGGTTTTATATAATGCATCTTAATTCTTATGCAGCACAGAAGCAATTTCACAGTGCTAATCTGCATAGGTATCCTTCTCAGGAAGACTCTGCATACTCAAAACTTTTTATCATTCTAAATCCATATGGCTTTAAGAAGTAACAAAATCATTTTAGATCTTTGGTAAACTTTTAAAACACCTACTGACATTGTTACTCTTAGATTGCTGTTTCTGTTGGTATTAGCATTGAACTATGAGAAGCCATTACAATTCTGAGTTTGAAGAAATAAAAAGTTTTGACCCCCTATATATCTCTTAGAATTCCTTGGTTTTTCTAAATTGAGGTAGTTAAATTAGACCAAGACAGAAATCCATAATTTTCTGGACTGAAAAAGGAACCTTGAATGCTGCACTTACCATACTCACTAGGAATGAGAAAGCCAGCGAGATTAGCTAGTTATGACCAGCAGCACCATGACTTTAACTGGGTCTTTAAATTCTCTAAGGTCAGCACTTTCCTTCATACACAGCTGTAATATTTTAAAATTCCATCCCATCTTTTTTAGCATGTTTATAACAATTTTGCCTATAATAGCATTCTAAAATCCTAATTTTCACTTATTTATTAAGTCTTCACTCAGTATGTCAATAATATTTTATGAAATGTAAACATCATTAGGAAAGAGTCTTTGTTCTAAATGATGTTCTAAAATACAGAGTGGAGCAAAAATAGGTTTACAGTTGTTTGTATGGAAAATAATATAATAATTAATAAATAATAATACAAGGAGGAACTCTATTTCACATACAACTGTAAACTTACTTCTGCTAAACCCTGTATATGATGTATTATCCAGGCAGTTTCTGACCTTTCATTTTCTTTCTATGCTTATAGGTAAAATCCTTTAATGTAGCAGCACTCTCATTCTTTCACTACTAATTAAGGCCTGATGCTTTCATTTTAAAATGCATTCCTCATAGGAATTTCCTTTTACAGTGGAAAATGGGGCAAGGGCAACTAAATGGGGATGTCCAAGGTCAGACATCAAGATGGATTAACAGCAGAATTTACAAGTGTCTGACTTTCAACATCATCTCTTTATTTTCTCACTTAGCTATCTAACACGTGTATCTTTATATTTCTACTATAAATAATCTAAGACAATTTGTTTTGTGTTCTTACTGAACAAATAATTAAAATGGTTAAAAAAAATAATTCCCCAAACTAGTTTAACTCATGTCCAGCCACGTTATTGTTCAATATGGCTACCTTTGTATTAACACATTTTCAATGTCATTTTGCAGCAGATGATTTAAAAACCTATAGAATAGCCTAGGACACATAAACAGAGGCAACTCTGTACATTATGCAAATAAGTAAATTGCCACTTATTATTATGGGTCTTTCAGTTGAGGAAGTACTGCTTTTAACCAATGACAATATTTTTAATCCTTTTTTTTTTTTTTTTTGCTCACAAAATGTTTCCATTGGGGTAACCTCAGTTCATTCTCACCAGGACATCGCTGCTCACTGCATCTCCTCACTTCTTCGCCTGTTCCTTCGCACTGCTGCCCCGTCACCGCTGCACCCTGACAAGTCCTTGTTCGCCTCTCCCAGCCACCATCACACGACTTGGAACAGCCACTCCAGTGTCCCCACTGGTTCCACTGACCATTGGCTGAAAGAAATTTGACATGGTCAATGTCAGCAGTCTACTGTATACTGCTTTAGAAATATCAAAATCTACGGCCCATTACTGTCCAATTTTTATTAATCTACCATCATGAATAAACTTTATTCAAATATTTGACTTGCTGGTCAAATAAAAAGTGTTGTCACGAACAGAAATTTGTATGTTTGTCAGAATCTTCAACTGGACATTAAACCTTACTTGTAAAAAGTACAAGTTCAGTATTAAACTTTATCAACTTACTCAATATTTGAATTACGACCCTCCTGAATTTTGCTGCTTTATTAAGGTGACATACAGTAGAATGAGTCCGGGTACAATTGGTTTCACTTACTAGAAATATATAACCACCTAGCGTGGTTCTGTCGCAGTGTTTAAATGGCAGGGATTCCTTAAATGTGGCAATCAGGTCTCACCTGTACACTCGGGATTATAGCACTCCCTGCTTTCTGCCCAAGGCCCTCTGCACTCAGAACCCCCATGAGCGGCTGCAGTGCACTGCCGGCTTCTCTGCTGGGTCCCATTTGAGCAGGTCACTGAGCACTGACTCCATGAACTCCACTCCTGCCACTGTCCATCAACTGCCAAAGCAGAAAGAGAGAAAGTGTAAGATCGTCCAGTAGAGAAGGCTATAAAGAAACCTCAAGGTAAGCCTAACCTTGAAGCTCAGTTCCCAATCAAGGGACTCTAAAGAGATATATACAATGAAAGGTCATGTTGGCATTAGATTCTATTACTACCCTTAAAGCTACTATTACCTTATTTTTTCACTTCTATTTCCTTTTATGTATCCAGAATCTTTTTTGATTCATTTATTTCTTCAAGAATATTTATCAGTCACTCAAAAATGCAAGCAAATCCTTGTTGGGTACAGGGAACAGTGAATAAAATAAATGCCGGCCAAGAATAACCCATAGAACGCATATTTAAGAGAAGAGGCACCTAGAATGAGTTAAATAATTTGTTACAAGCTAAGTAGATTAATTATATAACATTGCTGCAAAGGATACTGTCAAGATACTATGAGAGTTTGGAGAGGCTGGGAAAGTGTCCTTGACATGAGCTTTCAGGCAAGTCCTCAAGGGTAATGGGGACATACCAAAGGTAAGGGTACGTTCCACAAAGGTGTACAAAGGTCCTTGGCAGAAGAAACATGGGCACTTCCAGGACCTGAATGAAGGCCACTGTGAATGGAATCAAGAGAGCCAGGTGAAGAGTTCTACCACAGGAGATGGGTAAAAAGGCAAATGCCAGATTTTTTAGGCTTTTGGTCAGCTGTGTGAAGAATCTGGACTATTATTCTTAGACCATTAAGAAGCCAGTGAAGGCTTTAAAAAGGATTCTATGGTCAGATCTAATGCAGGTGGAGATGGAACTATGGGAGAGGGTAGGGAGGGTCAGAGCTAGCATGATGAGGCAGTGTCAGTGGAGTGGAAGATTAGAGAGCTACTGGGCAGGTATGGCACAGGGGTCTCATGGGAGCTGAAGTGGAGAGAGGGTCAGGACTACTCCCAGGTGTCTGGTGACTAACATTTGGCAGACTGTCGAACTTGTCTCTGGGAGATTTAAATTGAGACTCATTTATTTATTCATTCATTAAAATGATTTGTGAGAGTCTCTTAGTTATCAAACACTATAATAGGGGTTATAAGGGATAGAGAAGTGGAATATAAATCCCAACCTCAAAAATCTTATAGCTTAGTAGAAGAATTACTTTATGCACACAAATGAGTAACAGGTAAAAGCAATAATGTCTTGGCATGGCACATGAAGTCTTTCGAAGGACAGATCACATCTATTCGGGAAATAATTATATTATGGTGAAATTTGTAGAATTTAGAAAAAAACATCATCGACAAAGGTGTAATCACAAAATAAAAATAAGCAAAGAAATTGGGCAAAAATGTTTATCTAATTTAGAATGCCTTAATATCATATAAGAGTTATAAATGCACTAATATATGACTATCTTCATTTTCCAATATTATTCCTTGGTCTTAGTCAATTTCCTTACACTGAAAGAGAATTAACCATAAACCTAAAGTTCGAACATTAGTTAGTGTTGCTATGAAAACCCAACTAAACAAACAAAAAGCCTGGTGGGTTATGAGTAAGTGCTTTCAACCTCATTTCATGCCTTGCAGGTGGCTATTAAAAAGCAGGTTGTTTAATAGATATATAGCTGTACTTAATAAATCCTTTGTTGGATTAAAAATCACAAAATATAAATTTAATCATTTCATTCATGTAATTTTAGCATCTCACTTCATTAAATATACCCAATGCAGTCTTATTGGCTATGTAGTCAATTTGCCAAACAAAAAAGGAAAAGTCTAGTTAATCAATAGGACTTCATAAATTATCCATTTCCTTTCTATTTTGGCTTTAAAGATGAGTGTATTTTCCATTTCAGAATCTTGCTTCTTAAAGATAACATTTATTGAGCTTGCATGATGAACTCTGAAGCATTCTGAGAAGAGTTAAAAAAAAATGAGGTTCATGCCTGCACCTTGATATACATTTAGGAAAAAAAAAGTACAGGTATTCAAATTATTGAAAATACCCAGCAACACATAAACAAAAATAAATTAGGTGATACTAAACTTACTCAGTGCTGAATGACTAGAATAAAGGATTATATGATACCCTTAGCAATTCTGATTTTAGGTACATTTTCAGTATTTTTTAAATGGATGTAATAGTTACACACTCACTGGCAAAGAAAAGAGGACAAGTCTTTCCAGCTAAGGAGATGTGGAGCCAGGAATGAGCAAGTCAAATATGCAAAGAGGAGATCATTTGGCACGGGGCTGTAATACTGACGAGGGATGCAAAAAGACCTTGCTGAAAACAGATTAGAATGAATGAAAATATTTGTGAAGTATTCTGTTCATTAGGCTCCCCGTATAAGGTTTTGTATCACCATTAGCAATTTTTTAAAATTTTAAATTCATGCATTTGTAATTAGTTGTTCAGTCCTTTCAGCTAATGTATACATTTTATGTTTTGACTAAAGTTCAAGAAGGAGTCATATTAAGACTTTTGAGGGAAAATTTTGAGGCTTAACACTGCCACAATAATCAACAAAACACATTTTAAATGGGAACAGTTTTGTTATAAAGTGAGTTACAGAAAAGAAATAACAATGAAATTGAAGTTGTTTCAAGTGGGCACTTTTGATGTTTTATTTAACCCTGAGAACTAGAGGGTCCTCTTATTGAACATTACCTGCAATATTAAGAAAGAATTGACTTGACAAAGTAACCGACTGGATATTTTTTTTAAAAAGAGGAAAACCCCAATATTCCTTTAGTGTCGTTAAGTCCAAGTTACTGGGAAAATGGAAAACTGAGAAGTTAAAAAGAAAGGGACATATGAATTCAATTTAAAAGATTAGACAAAAGACATTATATAATATACATGAAAGATTTTCTTTTAGTGACAAATATGGGACATTGTTTTATATCACATGTTTTTAAATTGATATCCTACAATTAAGAAAACCATTAACTGTGCTCTTTTTAGAGACATCAACCCCAAGACCTTTCAGGAAATGGTAGTGACATTTTTATTTATTTACTTTTAATGGAGGACTGGGGGGTTTCTGAGAGGTAGAAATTAAGAGTTCTGTTTTGAGCATTTAAGTATTTCCAAGTAGGATATGTGCATTATAATTCAGGGATAAATATTGAGATATTTAAAAATGAAATTATTTAGAAAACATGTATCATTTCCTCTATCTTATATATATATATATGTTAGATATATATAATTATAATTAGACATATGTTATATATCTAATATATATTATATATTATAATAACCACTCATCTAGATAGTACAAAAAGAGAAGGGGCCGCTTTTATCTCTTTCGCTCATGCTGATGTGGGACTCCAAAGTGGTAATGAAGCTGCTTCTCCTTCAGCCCTGCGTTCAGATTTGTTTTCACCTCCATTGAGAATCAAGGCATTGGTGACAATCAGGCCTCTCTCTCCACACCCCATGCGCCCCTCTGTATAGCTGGTTTCTGACATTTGTAAGAGATAACTCCGAGTCATTACAAACCCGCAAATTTGAAAATACCTCAATATTTTCTTTTTAAAACTGCATTCCTATTGAAAGCTGATTAACATCTTGGCATTCTGTCAGAAAAGTGTTCCTTGATAATTTGGGGAAATGTAAACACTCTAAAACTCCTCATGGAGTCTCATAATGCACTCACAAGTAAAGATGTACAGAGAATCTAGCCTATGACTGGTATTGTTCTTTCAGAGTCTGGAAAAACTCTGATGTTAGAGACCAACTAAGTTCTGCCATCAAGGAACATGTAGTCTGAGGAGCTGCGGTGGAGACAAAAATAAACTAGTAAACAAATGAATAAACAGGAACGTTTCAGCTGGAAATGTTATGAAGACAGTGGGATAAAAGAGGGCAATGTGGTCAGCAGTACCCAGCCGTGCCCCTCAGAAGAAACCAATAAAAGCTGAGTCCTGAGTCACTAGAAGGAGCCTGAAATGTGAATAGACACAGAAATCTCTGTGCCAGTGCAAATTCTTGAGTTAAGAAGTCTTTGTGTATTCCAGAACAGAGAAAAGGCGTGTAGGGATCATGAAGGGGGAGGAGGAAGGAGATGGGTTCAGACGGTGAGCAGAAGCCAGATCCCTTAGGGCTCCGTAGGCCATGTGACCAAGTAAGATAAGAAAAAAAATGAAAGGATTTTAAAGTAGGGAAGTGATATGATTTACATTTTAATGCTTTCACATTTGTGTGTAACAATTGTAGAAGCGGGAGAATGGGTATTGCGAGGTGTTGGGATACTGTACTGTGGTCCAGACTTAAGTGACAAGTGTTTTGGATTACAGTGACATTAGTAGAAACAGAAAAAAGTAAATACATTTGAGCTATTTTCTGGATATAGAGCTAATTGGTTGGTGCTAAAGTATGGAAAAATAGAGAATCAAAGTTGACTTCTATGGTTTTGGCTTATTGAAACAGATAAATGGTGGAAACTCTTATTGAACTGCATTAGACCAGCATTCAAACAGGTCAGGGTGTATGTAGTCCTGAAATCAATGTCAGTTTTGAACACTCTGAATTTGGAATGCCATTATAGATATAACGCAGGGAGTCTTGAATTACAAAAACTTTAAAAAAATATCTTCCAAATTTATTTGAAATGTAACCATCCCCCCTTTTTATTTTACTCCTTTCACGGCACAGCATTCAATAAACATTGGGTGCACAATTTCTTCTATAATATGCAGCCAGGATAAGAATCAACACTGTCTTAGGCTTTTTCTCTATTTCTCTTCATTTTCATCATAAGCATTTTCAGCTGGATTTTTTTAGTCTTAGTTTTCAATTTAAAAACTCTAAATGCTTATTACTTTATGAACTGTCTTACAAAGGTGAGTAAGAATAGAGAACAGTCAGCCTGTGTTTTGAAGCTGGGCGAGTGCTGAGCGATCAGCCTGTCTTACCATCACGGAATGTGCTTCCTTGTACAACAATGTCACACAGGGGACATTTAAAGTTTTGCTTCAGTATGTGACAGATTACCAGATTTTCTGGGCCCAGAAGA